ACCTGGGTGTCCGGAGCAGGCCGAAGACTGGGGCGCTGCGTGCGTTTGGCACCAGTCCGGCCCACGGTGCCCAGGCCCTTTGCTGGGTGGCCCTCGGGGAGCGTCGCGGGGCCTCGCCTGCTGCTCGTAATTGCAGGGGCGGAGGTGGTTAGGTTGGCGCTCAGGTTGCCTTGCCTTTTTTTTTTTCTTCTCAGGTTTGGAAGTCGGTAATGGGAAGTCTCCTTTGTAACCCCTTTGCAATACTTTACCAGTCAGATCAAGTGTGATGTCGTCTCTACCACGTAGTTTCCTGTGACAATCTACCCCTTTTTCCCTGTCCTCCCATTGGCTGTGTGTGTTAGGAAGCTGCACAGCCTCCTTACAGATCTGCAGAGCTGTGTCTCTCGTGTGTATCTCGGTAACTGACATCCATGCTCTATATGTTTCAGAGAGGTATCGCCAAGAGTAGTTCTGTTCTGGTCCTGTGCACTGAGTCCGCTTAACAGTTGGGGACACATTTGGTGCGTTCCTGGAATGCATCTTCCAGTTTAGTTTTATATAAAAAAAATTGGTTTTCTGCACTCCCAAGACTGCTCCATGATGCTACCACAGTGTGATAGATAGGTACTATCAGGAAACTTGCTTCAAAAAAGCAAAATCGTGATATGAACTAGGATGTTAACGGTAGACTCAGCTTTTGTGGACAACCTTAAAATAAGAGGATTTGTACAATTTTTCCTTCTATAAATAATCCAGTGGAGTTCTTTGTTTTGGCAATGGAGATAACTTGTGAAATGATGTTTAGAGTTTGTCTGAATGTGGAGTAGCATTACAGCATTCATATAAATCTATTTTTACTTATAATAGAGCACACTGAATCTTTGTTTCCAAGGTTACCAAGATTAATAGAGTTGTTGATTCTGAGTGACTAGTTGTGTTTTCATATACACTAATGTTTCTTGGCCAAGTTAACCTTTCAGTTAGCCAGTACTATGTGTCCCGGACGTTGACTAACAGCAGATTGCAAAGAACTTGTGGTGTCATGGTGATGTTTTGTTTAAGAAGCTGTTGTGAGTGGGTGTGTCCCTTAGCTTCTTCAGGTGCAAGAGTAACTTGCATGAGAATGGTGTCATCCGCAGCCACTGTCCCCAGGTCAAAGCTGTGTGGTCTGCTGTAAACAAAGATAAGATGCAATCCCACATCTGCCATGATATCAAAAAATTGACGTTAATCTAGTAAATCTTAAGATCTAGATCTTAATGTTGAGTATTTTCTCATGTAGCAATAAAGATTAAAGATTAAACCTGTGTTTGTTGCTAATGTGTTATGTGCTGCACATCTGAAGCTAAGCTTCCAGTTTGATAATATTGCCAGATTATTCTGCTGTTCTGGGTGTAGGTTTTGTTCTCTGATCTCAGGTGATATAGAAGAACGCTTCAGTATGTCTCGACTAACAAATGTGTAAAGTCCCAGATAGCCTTCCTTTCCCCAAATAAGAGAATAGGTGAAACGTAAGTTATTTTGTTTAAAAACTTGTGACCCTGTGTGCAGCAACAGCTAACTTGCAAAAATGGGGTTTAAGATAGAGAGAATAAACTGTGAAGGAAGGATCCATGCTCTGGTGGTTTTGTATCACAGGTACAGAGGAATGGAAGCAGCTGTTACGCAGAATGACATATTCTGCTATAACAGCTTTGGAAGTTTTATTTTTTGTTGAACATCACTTTATTAGTGGTGCTACGTTTAAATAATTCTTCTGGTTGAGTACTGCTATTGGCAGTGATTGTTTCTGCTATTTTGGAACTGTATAGCATTTTGAGGTGACTTTGGTTTCCTTTGTTGTATAAAAAAAGATATTTTGGGAATCCTTGCTCCAGGGATGATCCCTCTGGTAAAGAAGATTCTATAGAAATCAAACCCTGAGTGACCTGTATCAGTATTCCTTATCCTGATAGATTTTTTTTTCCTGAATATTCAATCATTTTTGCAGCAACATAAGCTGATTTTTCTCTTAG